CTGAAGTTGCCCGGGGCGCTGCCGGGGTGGAAGTCAGCCGGATTCGTGTAGCCGGCCTGGCTGGCGGGCGGGCGGGCGGGGAGGCCAGAGGGAGGCGGTGGCAGGGGCATGTTGCCGCGGCCGAAGGGCTGGCCTGGTCCTCCACCGGGGACGCCATGGGGCGGCGGCACGGCGTTGTAGGCGGGGAGACCGCGAGGCGGGGGCGCGAAGCCGGGGGGCATGCCGGGCTGGGCCATCTGGGGGTGCTGCTGTTGCTGGTGCGGGTGCTGTTGGTGCTGGTGGTGCATCGGCAAGCCGTTGGCGGGGTCGAAGCCTGCGGGGACAGGGGGGGCGCCGGGGGCGACGGCCGGCGGCGGCTGCGGCTGGTTGAGGAAGGCGGCGGGGACGGGCTGCATCTCGGGGACAATGTTGCGCTTCTTGGCCTGGGCGGCAAGTTCACGCTCGGCGGCGTCGCCGTGGCGCTCGCCCTTGCCGTCCTTCTTGAAGGCGTACTGGACAGACACCTCCTTGCTGAGGAGGTACTGGCCGTGGAGGTTCTCGACGGCGGCGTCGGAGCTCTCAAAGTCGGCAAAGGAGATGAAGCCGAAGCCCTTGGAGTTGCCGCTGTCCTCGCGGGCGACCTTGGGCAGCGTGAGGAGGGGGCCGAAGCGAGAGAAGGTGTCGTAGAGGATCTTCTCGTCGACCATGGGGTCGAGGTTGCCGACGAAGAGCTCGGCGCCGACCTCGGCCTGCTTCTGCTTGTCTGCGCTGGCCTTGTTGACGCGCAGGGATTTGCCGTACAATTTGACGCCGTTCATCACGTTGGCTGCGTACTCTGCATCGCTGGGGGTGCGGAACTCGACGAAGCCGAAGCCCTGGTGGGTTTGTGTGACACGGTCGCGGGGCATGTGAATGTTGTGGATGGGGCCCATCTGGAGCATGATCTCGTAGACCATGGTTGAAGTCGCGCGCTCGTCGATGTTGCCGATGTAGACGGTCGCATCCTTGTCCTGCTCCCTGTGTCGCGTTAGCTGGGGGTGTCACTGATCTGGAGAGGCACAAGAGGAGCTTTACCAGTGTCGATTTTGCGCCATGGTTGCGATTGTGTCTGGATTCGAAGACGACTCGCGTGTCTCGTGATTCGAATCGAGGAATTGGAAAGGGGGCGAATGCGGCGGTCGTCACAGCGTTCGGGTCAGGCGTAGAGTCGAAGTGAAGCTGATGCCTTGAAGCCTTGAAGCTTTGAAGATTCACCAGGAAATTTGGCGATGCAAGCGGTACGTACCTGCAGATCGAGAGCCGTGTCGCGCGCTAAGGCGGGTGTTCTAGGCGCGGCCCCATGCGCAGGCGCCGCGGCAATGAGCTGTTGGTTCTGTCGTGCCGCGGTTTTTCCGGGCTCGAAAAAAGTCCATCGGGATCCAGGAGACAGACAGACAGACTGACAGACAGAGAGCTCCATCGTGCATCGCGACTGAAGTCACCAACGACATCCGAATCTCCCATCCACCCGCGAACCTCGACGGCATTACAAGCGGTCGACCGACTCGAAGACCCAGGCTTCCCAACCATCACACTGCCTTACGTCCCCCAACCGACGTCATGTTCGCCCTTTCCGAAGAGTCCAAGGTATGAGCGGCTGATCCTCGACACATGCAATAGTCGAACACTGCCATTTCGGATCAATACTGATAGTTGCTTTCGCAGGAGCGCATCGGCAAGATCATCGAGGTCTCGCGCGTCGCCCTTCACTAGTATGTTCCCCCCGACATGGCAATCTTGATGGAGAGAACCAGGCTGACGTTTAACCAGTGGCTACCTGCCCTTGATCCTCTACCTTGGTACGATGCGAGAGCACGACGACAGACGACGGTAACGACGAAGCTAACACATGGCAGGCTACACTCGCAGCGACCCCCGCCCTTCGGTCATCCGGTAAGCCTGTTCGAGCAGTCTTGAGTATCCGACACGAAACGCTAACCCACGAAAGCCTCCTGTCCCCCCTCTCTTAGACACCTCGCCGTCTCGGAAAGAAAAACGAGAGCATCTCGATGTACATGTATGATATAAAAGAAGCAGAAGGGCTCAGGGATTTGCGATCCAGGCGCCAGGGATGGATGCGCAGGGCCCGTACTGGGTAGCATCTCAGGGGAGCGTGCCGACCGACGGCGGCAGAAGAGAAGATTCTGTCGGCTCAGTCGTGAATGAAATGTACCACTAGCTGTCATAATGGATGAAACCGCTCTGAAGAACCAACCCATGCTAGATGCTATCGCTCTCCATGACCGTGACCGTGACTTGGACTGCTCGTCTCCGTAAGTTCAGGCAATTGATTAAATGCGCAGAGCTCGTCACGAAATTTCGGCTAGAGTGACGTAAGGTCACCCCATGCACCACCGAAACGTACATTTCCTGGCAGAAGCTCTGAGCTCCGAAAACTCCAAAGCTCGACTTCTTTCCACATCGCAGCTGCACACCGAGGAATCTTTCTTCCTCTACTTCCATCCTCTCCCCAACCACCTCCGTCGAGGCAGTCTTTCTCCATCGCCATGTAAACTAGACCTCTCTCGCCTGCCATGTCCGACCGCAACGATGCGGGCCTCTCACCCGCAGTTGTCGAGTCGATCGCTGGCCTCTCCGCCGGCTCCGTCGCGACGCTCGTCGTTCATCCCCTCGACATTGTCAAGACGCGCATGCAGAGTACGTCTCCCACACATATACACACACACCTGCTCACCAGGCAGAACACCCAAACTGACAGCCTCCCCTCCCTCCAGTCCACCGCAGCTCGACAGCGCCCAAGCAACCGCTGACAACCATGTCCCTGATCCGCTCCCTGACGCAGAACCCGCACCCCGTGGCCTCGCTGTATCGCGGTCTGACGCCCAACCTCATCGGCAACGCCTCGTCCTGGGCGTCCTTCTTCTTCTTCAAGTCGCGCATCGAGCGGCTCCTCGCCGGCGGCACCGACCGCACGACGCGCGACCGCACCCTCTCGACGCCGCACTTTCTCCTCTCGGCCGCCGGCGCCGGCGCCCTGACGCAGGTGCTGACGAACCCCGTCTGGGTGCTCAAGACGCGCATGCTGTCGTCGGACCGCGGCGACGCCGGCGCCTACCCGAGCATGCTCGCCGGCGCGCGCCGCATCCTCGCCACCGAGGGCTGGCGCGGCTTCTACCGCGGCCTCGCCGTCGGCCTCGTCGGCGTCTCGCACGGCGCCGTCCAGTTCGCCGTCTACGAGCCCGCCAAGCGCGTCTACCTGCGCGCCCGCCGTGCCGCCGGCGCCCCCGACGACGGCCGCCTCGGCAACGACGCCACCGTCCTCCTCTCCTCCGCCGCCAAGCTCGCCGCCGGCGCCGTCACCTATCCCTACCAGGTGCTGCGCAGCCGCCTGCAGAACTACGACGCCGACGCGCGCTTCGGCCGCGGCGTCCGCGGCGTCGCGACCCAGCTCTGGCGCGAGGAGGGCTTCAGGGGGTTCTACCGCGGCCTCGTTCCCGGTGTCGTACGCGTCATGCCCGCCACCTGGGTCACCTTTCTCGTCTACGAGAATGTCAAGTTTTACCTACCCGGATGGTGGCATGGGGCCTGAAGGGCCTGAGAGCTGGAGGCTTGAGACTGCCATATGTGACACGGTCATGATCCATGATCAGCTGATGGCTCGTCACTTGCGGGCGCTGCGCATACAATGTCTAATTATTATATGTTACCCGTCACATCTCGACTTTTGTTCGGCAGCGAAAATTCAGGATCTACAGCCATCGGCGCGAATTGACGCTGTTGCTCAGCTACCGTGCGCTCATGTCGAGTAAGTCATTCACGACTCGACCCGGCGGGACCTAGCGCTGCAGAGAGACGGGGGGGGGGGGGGCTCGCACCACGCACGATCTTCAGGAACGTCTACAGAGTACCTCACTAGCAGAAAGAAACCAGAACAGGTCCCTTCAACGCAGGAACGCGGGGACGGCCACGGTCCCTGGACAGAAAACGGCCAAAGAAAATAAAACACTACCCCGTGGCCCCCTAGCACCATCGTCTCCCGCTGCAGCAACAACGCGGGACGGACGGACGGCCGGCGCAGAAAAAGCCCCGCCGTCGCCGCTGTCAAACTTCTTCGTGCGTTGGCCCTAGGGCCACGCTTGGCTCGCCGGCAAAGCGTTCAGACAAGCAAACATGAACCGGCTGGAAAGGAAAGAGAGGAGAACAAAGTGAGCGGGAAGGGAAAGGAGGGGGGAGAGAGAGCGAGCCGTCCCTGATTGTGCCGTTCCCGCGGCCGCAACACACTTGTCTTCCCTTGGACGTGGCCTACTGACATCTGTGCTTGTCATCTGTAACATAGTCTAAGAAACCCACGCTGCCTCGGCTCCATTACCATGAGGTGGCCATGACATCCACCTCTTGTTATTTTGACTTTATTCCCTCCACGCTGTCAGCTAGACAGGCTTCAAGCAGCAGCTCTCAGCTCACTTGCAGCGTAATGTTAGACGGTCTTGCCAGCACAGCATCCAATCCCGTTGAGCTTTCGCAGAGGGCCCTCGATGCAGACTCAAACTCTTACAAGCACGGCGAGCAAGCATGACCTTGCTGCTGCTGCTGCTGCTGCCGCAGAGCAAGGCTCCAGCAAGGCAGAAAGGATCCGCAACCCTCCCCGCCTCTCTGTCAGAGCAAATCATCTCAAAGTTCCCAGGTCCCTTTGCTTGCGCTGCAGCGGTGTGCTCGCATCAAGAAATCCACGCAGCTCGTGGACAAAAGTTCAGGCGTGACCTCGAGAGATTCTTCCAATTCACCCCCATGAACCCCTCTTGCCCAGCGAGGGCAAGACATCATGGCCGTCTTGGCGGAGTCTCGAGTACCTAAAGCCGAACCGGCAACCGAGCCACGTAGTCTGCATAATGTGGTTTCTCCCTTACGTCCCAAGACCTAGGTTCAGCCAGTCTAACCCCCGCCTCCCCCCGTTTCGCCCCTTTTTCGCAACTCGCCTCTCGCCTCTCACTTTGCGCCCTCCCCCCTCACCTCCACCCTCGCCTCAATGAGAGACCTCACGCCACTTGTGCACATCACTGCCCTGCGCCAACCCCGTGAAGGGGCCTACGGCGGCCCTCGTTCAGGGATAGGGCAAGTTCTACAGAAAATCTAAAGCCAGCCTTGCGCCCGCCCGCCGTCTGCGGTACCCGGTCTCCGCATCAAGGTTGTCGCCCGAGGGAGAGCACGCGCAGATGACCGGGCCGTCCGGCCCCTCAAAATTCAAAGGCAAAGATACCCTATTCTGATCCCCTGACACGGACTGGGGGGTTACAGGACAGGTCAGATCTTTGAGCGGTACTCTTTGGCAGGGGGTGGCGTGGGCCTTCCTCATGCCCATCTTGCCCTGTACTGCCTATCTTGCGAGTAAATCCC